TTGAATTTTATCATTATCAATTTTTATATCACCTTTTAAAGTAGTAACACACTCCTTAACTTTACACTGTAAAGAATTTATATCAGTTGAAAGTTGAACTGTGTCCTCACTTGAACAATTATTTGACAGACCATCACCTAAAATAGGCTGATTAAATAAATTTATATTTCTAGTCTTCTGTTTAATCTCTCTATAGCTTCAATCAAAACTCTGTTGGAATTGTCTGCTTCTGCCTTCAAACCTGCAATTATATTATTGTAAAATGCCTCAACTTCCTGTTTTTATTTAGCCATATTACTGTTATATTGTATTTCCATATTTTTAATTTTTTCATTGTACTTTGACTCAATTTCATGTTGGTATCTGACCAACACATTTTTATATGTAAAGTTTTCTCCTCAAAGTTCCAAATTTCTCTTTATATTGGGCTATTTCTTCATCTAAGCTAGAAATTTAATTTTTGATTTTCCAGATTCAACTTGTTATCAATCCTTTGAAGTCACTACGACAAGGAGGATTTTGTTCTAGACAAGTTATTTAGTTTTAAATATAGCTTTTTCAATTAACGTGACTTTTTTGAGATCATTCCTAATCCTTACATATCAACTTTTTAAATAAAAAATTAAAAAAATACGAGTTATATAATTTACGAATAAAATTTTCCATGAACAATATTAATATATTAAATAATAGTAATAATAATAATAATAAAACATTATCACATAAATATAATCCGTAAATTTAGTTTAACGGATGAACACATCAATAAAATACGTAAACAAAAAGCGGCATATGCGCTGATTTTGTTTGAACCCAAAATTCGGTATGTTATGATGAATACTTCATACTAGCAAAAACCCATTGGTTTGACGGGCTATTGAATAGTAAAATAGTTTTTTTTGGCGGAGCAATAAATTTTTTTTAGGGTTAATTATCATTCTACGATCAGTTCACACATTAAAAATCCTCGTGTTTAATGTCGAAAAAAGGGTCCAAAAAAACAAATCGGCTGATATGGAAGAATTTGTTAGAAAAACTAAAAAGTATTATTTAAAAATGAAACAAAGCTAGAAACGTTTTTTATAATTTAAAATTTTAAAAGTTTAAAGCAAAGTAAAGAAAGGACGAAGAGAAACGATTTTTAAAAGTCCGATGATTTCCAATTTGTTGTCTACAGGCTGAGCTTAAAACGACTCAACAAACAATGTGAGTACGTGTGTTCTGACGGGGTTTGAACACATATATATTTATCAAACAACACAAATTCCTTCAACATTTCACCTTATTCTAAATAACTCTACCTAAATTTAATAAACAACTCTGATAATAATATAATGGTTCTGATTTCATGCTCTCTAGGTAATATCCAGATCAGTCAACAATGTCTTTGATATAGTTATAATTGAGACTGAATAAACTTCATAGACTTTAATATTTTCAAGAGGAATAGCCTCATATAAAGTTAATTTGGATTTAATTGTCCCTTTGGTCATCAGTGGGGTATAGAACTCTGAGATTTCGATTATTGCTTTGGTATAAAACCAAGTTTAGTTTTTGTAAAAGTGTTAAGCCGTTTAGCAAAGTATAAAGTTATTAGTTAATCAAATATAAAGTGCTGACAGTTATTAACTAAAGTCGTTATCACATATTGTTATTGTAGTGGGTTAAAGCATTGTTGTAAACGTACGGCTGTTAAATAAGCAGTTTAAGGAGTCTTATAAAGAGACCAAACTAATAGAGCCTTTAATTGGCCAAAGAAAAGTAAATGTAGATAGAAAGAAACTTATAAAAAAGCTTTTGAACCTTGTAAGATAACCATCTTTGCTTTATTTATTTACAGTTATCTGGCACTATTAACAGATTCGCAGATAAGAAAGGAGCAGCAAAAGTGAATTCGTAAACTAATTAATTGACAAGTACCAAACTATTGTATTGCTTGCAATTGACTAACAAGAGTAGCCCAAAAGTTAAGCCATACATGTTAAATAATCAGAATCAACCAAAAAGCCACCATTTAACAAGAATTAAAAAACTGTAAAAGTTTATTATAAGAAATATTATAAGAAATTAAATAAAGATAAAATAAAAGATAAATAATTATAACAATAAATTTATAGTGGGATTAAATTAATCATTCATCAATATCTTTCCCTTTACTATTATTACTAGAATCTAATATTTATTAATTAATTAAAAAATATTGTTGGTAATAATGGATAGCAATTTCCCAATTAATTAATAATAATGAAAATTTTATTCACCTTCAACATTTAAGGAAAGAGAGCTGAATCCAAAATCATTTGATGAACTATCATTACTTGTATAGTAATAACTTTTGAAGCTTTTAGATTTAGTAATCTCTTCATCTAATATTCTACTTGTATAATATACATCTGGATGTGACTTGTGTACTTGCTGTAAAACACTATTACTAATATCACTATTATTATTATCATCATTATTATTGAGAACTTTTTCCAATTTATTAGCAGCAAATCTAAAAATCCCTCGAATAGTTGGTCTTTTTGATGGATCCACATCCCAACACTTCTGCATAACTTGTGCATAATCATCAGGCATTCCTGGTAATATTGGTGGTCGTAAACCTTGTGCACATATATCAAAAATTAAATGATGATCATGAGCTCTGTCATCAAATGGTGGGTGACCTGCAAATATTTCCCACATTAACATCCCAACACTATAGATATCAGATTCTTTTGTGTTCTTTTTGCCTTGAAGTAGCTCAGGTGCAACGTATGATATAATTCCATAGACTTTATCTGATGATTTTTCATCAACTGGTCCACATAACCCCAAATCTGTAACATAACAATTACCTCCACTTATTAACACATTGCCACTGTGTAAATCACAATGGATTAAATCTTTTTGATGTATACGAAATAATGAATCACATAAATATCTAAAGATTGTAATTCTGTCTTTTAATGTTAAGTTTAAATGATTTTTTTTCAAATAATCCCTTAAATTTCCTTCTGGATGATAATTTAAAACCATTGCATAATTTCCACTATCTGGAAATTTAGTTATACCATAACAAGCAACTACCAACCCTGATTTAATTTTACAATAATTCATTGCCTGAAATTGAAAATAAAATCAATTAGTATTATATAATATAGTATTGTTTATTTTTGTTTTAAATGACAACTACCAACCTCATCAAAAAAGCCTTTTCCTGGATTACTTGAATCATTAAAACTTTTTAATGCTACTTTTTGCTTTCCATAATAATTAAACTCTTTTTTATTTTCATTGTAATCATTAATAGTTCCTCTTGGCCATATAGCAGTATAAATTGAACTAAATCCACCTTTAGTCAAATTTGTTACTTTTTCAAATTGCTCAAAAGGTATCCATTCCAAAATATAGTCTGGCAGAGATGATTTTATTTGACATTGTTGAATAAAATCATCAACTATGTTATTTCCAGATGTCCAAGTGGTGAAAAGACTCTGTAATTGTAAACTAATACAACCTTCACAGAATCTATCAGAGTATCTTGTCAATTTGCACTTGTTACATTGTTTTGATTTTCCCAATTTATATGTTGCATTCTGTAATTCAAAATCATAAATAAATATTTCTTCAAAAAATTCTTTTTCATTTTCAGAAAGCTCCTTGTTTTTTTCGACCAATGAAAAAAAATAATCTTTTCTACTTTCTTTATCAGAATTAACATTAGCATTACTAAGTATTCCAGCATAAATTTTTAATAGAAATCTTTTTCTTTCTATATAGTGATAACGATGATAATCGGTTAACATGTGACATTATATAAAAATGTAAAATATAAATTCGTTTAGTGGAGTTTTTTTTTTTGAGAATAACACAAAAGTGTTACGGTCCTTTCTAAATGTCGTATATTTTTACATTTTGTGTGCCCAAGTTTTGGAAATGTTGTAAATGAGGACTCGTTAAGACTTGAAATGGTAGATTCAGCGCAGTTACGGTAATAACAAATCACGAATCTTCTAAACATTTTGTTGCTCGACTTTAGTAAACTGAACTGTTGGGGAAAAATCAAAGGATAATGAGTCTTTTTTTTTTTTTTGCTATGTTGGTTTGAAAATATTTTTGTTTTCCGAAAACGATAAATGGTTGTGGTTATTTTTACATTGTCGTATCATGCGAATTCCCATTGCTATCTATTTGGCAACTGAAAAATTTATCAAAATGTCAGGGTTGAAATGAAATCGTGTTTCACTTTAGATTTTTTTTTTTTTTTTTTGCAGTGTCTATCGTTGTCTACTAGTATTTTTCGTCTTGTTCTGACGTTTCGGACCGTTCAAAATGACCAAAACTTATGATCTTCCTTGGAGCCTTTACATCAGATCCCAAATAATCAGAGAGTTGTCACAAAACATATATTAATGCCAGTCTTAGTATATTTCGAGTCTGGGATTCAAAAACACTTTTTTTACATTTTATTTTGTTGTGATCGGTCAATTCAACGAACAATATGTAAAAATTTTATTTTTAATTTCCTTTCGGAGAAAGTAAATAAAATCCATCGATTAATCTTTACAAAAAACATAGTTGATTTTTTTTAACAATCGAAATTTGTAAATAAAATTTTGATATTTGCATGTAGCTTATTCTTCTATGGCAATAGACTTGGGAAAAAAAATCTAATTGATCCAATTAACCTTTAATTTGGGATAAATAAATAAACACAATGAAAAGATCAATACAAAGGATTTAATTAAGAAAAAAAAGCTTTTCAACTTCCATTGGTTAGTTGGACATTTTAATATATTTGAAAAAATTAAACAAGTTCAATTAAATTAAATCAAATAAAATTAATTTTTTTAATAACAAGTCTGGTATTTATAATGACAATTTTTAAATTGACATGTGTGACAAATTTTAATTTATTTCGTGCACACATAATTATGGTGTGGACGCGAACAATGAAATGAATTTTTAGTTAAGATATATTATTAATATTTGACTATTCCCCTCCAATTAGAAAAATGAAACAACAACTTAATGTTGCTTTATTAGTAGCAGATACATCCATACCTAAAGTATTGGAAAATTATAGAGATTATTATGTACAATTTACAAAATTTTTGAATAAAAATGAACATTATTTAATAAATTTGATGTTGTGTTGTGAATGAAATGAACTATATTCAAATGATAAAGAATTAAAAGAAGATATTGATGTTATAATAATTACAGGCTCTTGTAAGAATTTTGGTAATAATAATTTAATATATATTTCCCTAGTGTGATCAATAATGTTTTTTTTAGCCTTTTCTGTTTACAAAGATGTTCCTTGGATTCATAAACTTGACAATTTCATTTCTTTAATTTATAATAGTTATTGTAAAGTTAAATTAGTTAGAATTTGTTTTGGTCATCAGATTATTGCTAAAGCTTTAGGCGGAAAAACTCTAAAAAATCAATTGGGATGGGAGGTATTGTTGTATTTATTATTTATTTAATTTTCAAAAAAATTTGTTATTCTAATAATGATTATAAATAGGTTACTGTCACTAATAAAACTAATAAAAAAGTTTTGGTAATAAATTTCAAAATTATTCTCACAGTTAATTCATTGTTATTCACACATATACACTCACACACATATATTTTATATATATAATTTATTTTAAAACATCTTCAAGAAATGCATCAGGTAATAAATTATTAATTTATATAATTTACATAATTTACACAATTTATTTACTTGTTCACATATTCATGATTTATTGTGACAGGAACATGTAACAAAAAATGCCATCAAATTTTATCAATTGGGGAAGTACAGATGTATCAAATACAAGGAATGTTTAAAGAAGAACATGTCTTGACTGTTCAAGCTCATCCTGAATTTGTTAGTGGAAAAGGTGAAGGAAATAATTAAAAATCATTTGGAAAAGAAAATTTATACAAAAGAATTTGCAGATCAAAAAATCAACAGATTTAAAAGTTGATAATATATGGTTAGGAAAGAAGATTATAGAAATTTATGTATGGTAAATAATAAAATCTATATAATAAAATATTTTTATTTTTATTTATATTAATTATTGTATTATAATTTGATAATAGATGAAATTCAAGATGGTGAAGATGAATGATTATTATTTTGAAATTCTATTCTTTGAAAAATTCCTTCCAAATAAAAAAAATGAGTTATTTTATTTTTCATCAATTTTAGCCAAAAGTTCTGAATCACGAAAAATTGTATATTCCTATTATACAAAAAAAATTTTTTTTGTTAATATATATAATATATATATAATGATAATGACTAGATGAAGTTTAATTAACTATCAATATAAAATTACATCATCTCCAACTTTGATCACGCCTCCACCGTATGAAGGAAGAAGAACACGATCACCAGGTTTTACTTGATTTGGAATGTGTTTTCCATCCTAATCACGTGATTCAAAAATATTAATGAATAAAATCGCAATGTGAAAAAGTAAAGTATGTATTTTTATTTTTTATACCTTATCTAAGGCACCTTTACCGGTGGCAATAACTTGACCTTCGTTAAGAGCTTCTAAAGCCTTTTCAGGAATTAATATCCCAGCAGCTGTTTTCTTTTATTATTTTGAGATATAATATGATGTGTAAATTTCATCATCATTATATTGAATAAATGTTTCTTTTTTTTTTCAACAATTAAATTTATTTATCTTACCTGCTGAGATTTAATACGTTGAACAAGTACTCTGTCAAGAAGTGGAACAATTGATTTTACATTTCTTGTTGCAGTTGCCTAAATTAAAAGTAGACAATATAAATATTAAAAAAACGTAATATTAATATATATATATATATATATAACATTATGCGTACCATTTTATTTAATTTTTTTTTGTAATGTTAACAGCAAAAAAAAAATTTTTTATTTCTAAAAAAATTTCTCGAGATTATATTTTATTTTTTCGTGTTGTGATACAATTATGAACTTCTTTCGTCTTTAAAATTTTTTTATCATGGAAATTGATGGAAAGATTTTAGCTACCAATCAAATTTAAATCAATTTTTTCTTAATATATTGATTGATAGGAAAAAAAATTATTTCTTAAAATTCATCTAAAAAAATTTATCTAAACCTAAATTTAATAAAATGTATTGTGTTCCAAAACTTTTTAACAATAAATTTGCTATTTCCACATCAACATCAAAAATTACTCATAAACTGATAAACAATTTATCAAAAGACTTTATCATTAATAACAAATCATCATTATCGCCTTTATCAAGATATTATGTTACTCATAAAGAACTAAAATTTGGTGTGGAAGGCCGTGCTTCTTTATTAAATGGTGTGGACATACTTTCTAAAGCTGTAGCTGTAACACTTGGTCCCAAAGGAAGAAATGTTTTAATCGAACAACCTTTTGGTAGTCCAAAAATTACAAAGGATGGAGTGACTGTTGCTAAAAGTATAACACTTAAAGATAAATTTGAAAATCTTGGTGCAAGGTAAAAATCTTCGAAAAATAATAATAAGAATATATCAAGCCTTTCATCACATGATTAATCAGTGTTACATATATATATATATATATGTATGTATGTAATTTTTTTTTTTTGATTTTAGGCTTGTTCAAGATGTTGCAAATAAAACTAATGAAATTGCAGGTGATGGAACAACAACTGCAACAGTACTTACTCATGCAATTTTTGTTGAAGGTGTTAAAAATGTTGCTGCTGGATGTAATCCCATGGATCTTAGGCGTGGAGTTCAAATGGCTGTTGATGCCATTGTTAAATATTTAAGGGAAAATAGTCGTGTTATTACCACAAGTGAAGAAATTGCCCAGGTAAATAAATGATATTTATAGACTGGTTAAATGTTATTAGTTAAAATTAACTAAAAAAAATTTTATCTAGGTTGCCACAATCTCTGCTAATGGTGATATACATGTAGGAAACCTTATAGCCAATGCTATGGAAAAAGTTGGTAAAGAAGGAGTTATCACTGTTAAAGAAGGGAAAACAATAGATGATGAATTAGAAATTACAGAGGGAATGCGATTTGATCGTGGATATATTTCTCCATATTTTATCACTGATACTAAATCTCTAAAAGTAGAATTTGAAAAACCATTGATTCTTCTATCAGAGAAAAAGATTTCTGTTCTACAAGATATTTTGCCAGCCTTGGAAACGTCAGCACAACAACGTAGACCACTATTAATTATTGCTGAAGATATTGATGGTGAGGCATTGGCTGCATGTATATTGAACAGACTTCGTGGTAATCTTCAAGTTGCAGCAGTTAAAGCACCTGGGTTTGGAGATAATAGAAAATCCATTTTAGGAGATTTGGCTATTTTGACTGGTGGCACAGTTTTCTCTGATGAATTAGACATTAAACTTGAACGAGCAACACCTGATTTATTTGGATCAACTGGGTCAGCCACAATTACCAAAGAAGATACAATTTTTCTTAATGGAGATGGAACAAAAGAAAGTATTCATCAACGTTGTGAACAAATACGTGCAGCTATAAATGATCCTACTGTGTCTGAATATGAAAAAGAAAAATTACAAGAACGTTTAGCAAAATTATCTGGTGGTGTAGCAGTGATCAAAGTGGGTGGTTCATCAGAACTTGAAGTTGGAGAGAAAAAGGATAGATTTGTTGATGCATTGAATGCAACAAGAGCTGCAGTTGAAGAAGGAATTGTACCTGGTGGTGGTGTTGCACTTTTGAAATCAATAAAATGCCTTGATAATTTAAAAACAAGTAATTTTGATCAACAATTAGGTATCAATATTATCAAATCAGCCCTTACAAAACCAGCAAAAACAATTGTTGACAATGCAGGTGAAGAAGGTGCAGTAATTGTTGGTAAACTGTTAGATGGTCATGTAAGTGATTTCAATTATGGCTATGACTCTGCTACTGGAGAATATGGAGATATGATTTCTCGTGGTATTGTTGATCCTTTAAAAGTTGTCAGGACTGCTCTTGTTGATGCTTCAGGTGTTGCAAGTTTGTTAACAACAACAGAATGTATAATCGTTGAAGCACCAGGTAAACTATTATTATTACTATTACTATTACTATTATTACTATTATTATTATTACTATTATTATTATTATTATTACTATTATTATTATTATTGATATAAATTAATTTATTTACTAGATGAGAACAAAAATGCTGGGGTAGGTGGAATGGGTGGAATGGGAGGTATGGGAGGTATGGGAGGGATGATGTAATGAATAGATTACCAAGTAATCTTGAACTATGCAATCGATTTTGGTAATATTAATTAATTTGTTATAAAGCAATACAATGTTTTGATTGATTATCATTATTTTTTTATAATTTCCTGCTTTTCAAAATTTTTATGTTCAAACCATTTTTGCAATCTTATATGGCATGTTGCAACAAAGTGAACATTTCTACTACCAAGAATTTCAGGGTTCAACATCATCATCATATTATTACTATTAATAATTTTATAATGTCCCATCTGTTATCTTTGTTTTTTCTTTAATGGTATATTGAACTACTTCTATATAAAAACAATTAATATGAAACTAATTTATATTGGATCTACTATGGAACCCAATAATTACAGCATCATCAAAAGCATTTTGAAAAAGGAACAAGGTGAGAAAACTGCTCCCTATATTTTGATGCTCAGATACTTGAGCTTATCTAAGAAAAGAAGGATTACCTACGAATTTATCAGAAGAAAGAAAAACCATAACCAATAAAAGAACATTAATGCAAAGCCATGAAGAACCTAGTAAGAAAAGAAAATTTGGAAGAGAAATAGTTTACTACTTAACTTAGGTTAATTATCAGCATAGATGAGTGTCCCACATCATATAAATTTTCATATGGATGGTTGGGGGTGTTACAAATTATAATAAACACAAAAATAGTTGACCACATATAGTTGACTTGGTCTAAAGACCTCCTAAATTTTGCATAAATGTTAAAAGTATAAAAGTCACTTTCTGTCCTACCTTTTAAAAAAATAGCAGTATTAATTGATAGAATAGGACTTTAGTTTTAATGTAATAATGAGATTTTCTAAAAATTATTTGTTATAGAGTTTAGTACATATTTTACTATGTTTGTGAGGAATTTAGCCACTAGACCATTACTAAAATATCTGGTATAAAAAAATTATCTTTATTGTTCATTTTTTATAATTTAGAAGGAAAAGGACATTCTCACTTGTGAACTAAAAAATTACATGCCAAAAATCGCATGCACATGTAGCATCTCTAGTTACATGGGACATGTAATTAAAGAGTGAGATTTATTATATGATGGCATATAATAAAAATAAGAGGGATATGACTTTATCAATTATCAAATAGGATTTTAATATAACTGGCATTGGTTCCTGAAAAAAATATAAATTTATCAAGTATGAATTAATAAGCTATGACTGTATATATTTTTGCATAGTTGATAAACTTAGGATGTCAGAGATTTTGGGTCAAATGTAAATTGAAAAACCAAACCAAACCAAACTGTTTGGAATTTTTAATTATAAAATTTTAAAATGATCAAAAAAAAGAATAATGAAAAATAAACAATATATGAGATATATATATAATAATAATATATGGGATGTCTGCCAGCAATATGGGGTCTGAGACTCCTGGCCAAAATTGAGATTTTTGCATAATGTATATCTATATCATAAGGATTATAGTTGGTGAAAAATTTAGACAATCTAATAGTCTCAGACCCCCTTTTTGCTGTTGGACATCTCATATAACAACAAGAATAATAATAAATCATCTTTCTAATACTATCCACCACTACCACTATTGCCATCATCACCACCTATTACCTTAAAGCTTATTTAACCCATAGATTTTGAGATAAATATATACTGCTGAAATAATTCTGTTGATGAAAT